TGTACTGTGATGAGATTATGTCTGGCTTTATGGGAGGGGTTGAGGGTAATTGGGTGGGAAGAGCGACTGAATGCTTTTGAGTGTTCGTTATTGAATTTGTTTTGTATTAAATTGACCAATATAAGATATCTGAAAATGAGTGAATAGTCTCATCCTATCCATGTCCATGTCCATGTAAACCTGGGTATCCAAATGAGCGTCGTGATATGTATTATTTGATATTTTTCAGTTTCCCATCTCGCCAAAGAGTCCAATTTGAGGATCTAGCTGATATAGATCCTTTCCCAACTCCATGCTTGCAGAAACGCTGTAAATCACAATAGGGTAGAAAAAAATAAATGACGAAAGCAAAGGTATAGTGGTTGAGGGAGGGCGGTAGTCTTTTTTTGTTGCTATCAAAGCATGCTCTTTGTCATGAGCAGAAGCATCACGCCACGGCACTCCTCTTCAAGAAATTGGGCCTATGCGACCTCTTGGCGGGAGGAGAGGGCGGCCCAGCGTGACAGAGGAAGCGGTTGAGCTTTTCCAAGCCGTCCTGGGGCAGATGCTCCAGGACAGAGCTGTTGAGGGTATCAATGATGAAGCGGTTGGCTATTGAAGGACGAGGTTAGATTAGCTGTCAATAATGTGGCGATGTGCCATTGGGATTGTGGGGTGACTCACGCATCAGGTTCACGCCTTGCTCGCCGGCCTCCATTGCGACGTCGATTCTGGCCGACGTGTAGCACCCGTAGAGGCCCTGGAGCTCCAGCATGCACCTCCACAGCTCCCGCGTGTCCTCTGCCGTCAGGCCCTCGCAGCTCCTCTCGGAGGCGTCTGAGATGGATCTGCGGTTCATCTTTTGCGAGCTCTGGGGGTAGCAGTAGATGGATGGTCTGGTGGTGGCCGATGCGGCGGTGGTGGTAGTGTTGGTGGGATGATCCGAGTGTGTGTGAAAGGCGGATGAGGAGGTTTTTGAAGTATACGCGTGAGCATCAGTGACAAGGGTGTGCTCTGAGCTGCATGCCGAGTCTGCGGAAGAGGCGGAGGAGCGACGGGAATTGTGGTGGAAATGGTGATACATCATGTGTGATTTTGGGCGGATGTAAGTGTAAGTGGGAGGGGAGGGGTTATTGTTGAAAAATTTTCGTGTTAAAATTTGGCAAAATTTTCTCTTCTCTCGATGCAAATGTTGAGAGGTATTTTGCAAATTCGTCGGAAGAGGCAATGGAGTGTGTTTAGGATTGTTTTGGCGTGGGTTTCTGTCAATGCGATGGTTCGGTAGTGCAGAGTTAATGAGGCGAGGGGACAAGGGAACAAGTAGAGGCCGCCGAGAAGCCGCTTTCGAAGGTCTTATACTGGAATTCTCGGTGAGGCTTAGTGGCAGGGGCAGGAATAATTGCTCGCCCTGGAATTTGCTTTTTTCTGATCGGGTCGGCCCCTGGCTCTGGCTCCTTTCTTTGGTGCCTTAGTCTGTTTGTTGCTGTGGTTTGGCGATTATTACGGCCTCGACGATGCGTTGTCTTATTACTACGGGGTGGGTCGTTTATGGGCAATGCTTCACGGAATTGCGAAACGAAACCAGGCCACTCCCTGTCGTATTCAAGAGACGGTGACTGGAGCTCGCAGAAACGTGGAGCCAATCAGGGCCTTGGCTGGCGGTCGTCATCAAATATCAAGGACCCAACGAGCGGTTCGATGAATGCCCAACGAGCACGGGCGGAGGAGAGCGAGCGCTTGGGATGAATGGGAACAGCTGGCTGATGTGTATTGAAACTCGCTGAGACGGAGCGGGGAACGGGACAGGAGGCGGCCAAAGCAGCCAAGCAAGAACTAATAGTCTTAAGAAGTATGTATGGATGGATGTAGGCGTTTGCAGCTTGAGGAATATGAGATGTGAGATGGTCACTTATTATGCACAAGGAGCGGGCTGGGTCCACCCTCCATTTGTATGCCGAGATGGATGATGGATGGGTGGATGGATGGACGGCATTGGCATTCGACATACTGTACTTACATGGCACGAAGATTAGACTGTGCCGAACAGGCGGGCAGCCCAGGCCTGGCCAGACCGTCATATCGCAGGGCGCAGAAGCCGCCGTCACATGCGGTTGGATAGGGTTGGATTGGCCGCAGATGATTGCATTGCGCATACTCGAGCAGGTATGGTGCACTATCTGTCCCCCTCTCGCCCCCTCTTGTGGCGTGAATCAGAAGGCGTCTACATTTCCTTGGCCCCTCGCTGGTGGGTGGCAGCTAGCAATTGGCAGTGGCTGTGGCTTGCTTGGGGCCATCACCGTGCATAACCTTAACACAGGAATGCTTGCGTCTGGACCGGGGAGAGGGAAGAAGGGAGGAGGAGGGCTTCACAGGTGACGCACAAGACGGCACTTAACATGGTTGATAAGGCTGGGCGTCGGATTGGGCAGGCAGCTAGCCGGGATATGATCCTGCAAGCCAGGCGATCAATGCATGAAAATAGCTGGCTGATTTCCTGGAACCCAACGAACATGGGATGGGATTGGGTCTGTTTCGTGCGTCCAAGCGCCCTGTCTCGACGTAATCGCTCAATGCCTTGCTCGATCGAGAGTCGTGTGTAATCATCCAGAGGATCGAGGCGCCGGAACGACAGGAAACAATAAGATGAAACGCACAGGGGGCTGCAGCACGGCGACGGCTATGCCCGATGACAATAGGTGGAACCCCATTCCTGCTCGTCGTCACTTGCGTGATGGACAAATCTAGCGAGCGGGCGCGCAAACAAGAGGCGAGGAGATAGGTAGAGGCTGAACATGCAGCTGGAGGATGATAAGGAGGTTAAACGCCTCTATCTCTGGCCTTGCTCTTGAATCGAATGACCACCAGATTGCGTGGCTTAAGCCACTAGCCCGCCAAACGACGCTGATCAGGGTCAGCAGACCAATCGTGGTGATTTGGGTTTGCGCAACCACCAACCTTATCAGCATCGTGCATGCGGAAGGGCTCTTGGCGGGTGGTCGCGTGTGGTCATCGGGGCAGTGCAGCTGCGCATCTGTGCTCGCAGCAACCTTGGCCAGGAGGGCGAGGGGGGATGGACAGTGTGAATTGGCTGGTGGGTGGTGATTGCCTCCTCCTGATCATGATGGTGGCCTCCAAGCGAGGATTAAGCTCAGCGAGGTGGTGTATAGCAAAACAGGACTAAGAGGCTTGTTCGCTGGTCAGCTGCCCCTGTTCGCTTGTTCCTCTGTCCAATGCCAGCCAGCCTTGTCCAGCTCTTTCTCTTGGCCAACTTGGCGGAATGCTCGAGACCTCAAACGTGAGCTACCCTATACACGTAGCTCAACACATACCAACACCACCTCCTACACTTTCTCCTATCCTGATGTTGGGACAGACTATTCCAATCAAAGAAAGGTCTTGAGCCCTGAGGAATGCTGGGCCGTTCTATGGCCCCTGAGTCTGATCGACAGGGCAGGATAATGCAATCAAGGTTCATGCGCGATATAATGCCTTTCATCAGGTTCCTTGCTTTCCATGCTTCATAATTACTCGGTGAAGAGTCCTCTTTACGATGCAAAAACACCTCATTTACATTTGCTTCTAGCAACAAACTCTCGATTGAGTTGTTATCTCGGCGTTTGGGGCTCCTGATCATGCTATTCGACAGACATTTGCTTGACCGCTTCCTCCTCGGAACGGGCGGACGAAAACAGGGCGATACTTTACCCATCACACGATATCGCATTGGAGTGGTCCGGCAATGACGGACTCAACCTCGACACGTTTCATATGATGTATCGTTGAGATTTCTTCTCCAAAAGTTGGATCGCGTGGAAGTACGGCAGGGAAAACTCCCTGAGCAGCTTGTTTTCGCCCGAGTTATTATCTTGGTATTCACGCACCCCTCGGCCCCGTCACTACAGCTTCACCTCGCCTGCACCGAGGAGAGCACCATGTGAATGCCGGGAGGCCTCTTCTACTTGGTTAATGATCGGCAGCCGGATTAGACTCAACCTTTCATATGCCAATTCGGGGTTGGCCTTACCGAGGACAAGCAACAGCTTTCCCTTCACTCACAAACAGAAACCCGGGCAATTGATTCTCCATTGTGTTCAAAAGTTCCGGTTCCAGTCGATCACAACCTCATTGTCTATTTCGAAGTCTGTTGAGACGGAGAAACTAGCAGACCTAATGAGACGGCCCGAAGGACGCTTGCGGCCGGATGCGAGAAAAACCACGCCCGTCCCGGAGAGAAACTTGACTACCCGCGTCTCAACACAAATGAAAAAGATTTCCTCAGCTTTGATTTGCCAGAAAATTATCCCAATGCCTTCAAGCGAAGCTTGTTCCTGCAGTTTGGTGGTGCTTCGCCGGATCCGTCATGGTTGCCGTGCCACTTCGATTTTCGCACGTCAAGGCATGGCAAGATCTCGAAAGTAACTCTGAAATCAGAAAATTCTGACAGAAAATTCTCGCAATTCAGTCTTCTTTTGGTCTTAAGCTCGACAGAAGCAAATTCTGCCATTACTGTGTCCGGAGGGCGTCGCTCATCATCAACTTACTTACCCTATAGCATAGCCACGCAATAAACTTCTCGTGGTGTATCCCATCATGATTTCGACGGCCACTATTCTTTATGTTTCCTAATCAAGATTTAGGCTTCTTTGATTGACTTCTAACTGACGGTAAAGGGGGAAGCGAGCTTCTGCGACCGACACTCCAATGAGGCCGCGCTCGCTCTCATCGGAGAATAGTCGATCGTCGAGGAGATACATCCGAAAGTTGCTTGACCGAAATCCCGTACGTACGAAGTCGAAATGACAATCATGAGAGAGGAGATCGAGAAGAAGCATGAAAACCTTCTTGGAAGACTCAAATCCTTTACTTATACCGATCAGAAGGGTCTAAGACATCATGGAGTTGAGGGCTAAACATTCAGGCAGTGTAAAAAGGAAGTATAACTAGACAAATTTCGACTGATGAACGCTATAACTAAGACAATATGCCCCTTCTGCACTCGAATTCATTGCGTCCTGGACGCCCTAGTTGCGCCCCTTCCTATCAACATTTGAATCTTGACCCTTTTCCCCATGTTCATTTTCCTCGCCTTTCCCCTGACCCTGGGTTTCCTGGCCATCATCCTGATCATCCTCCTCTGGCTCTATATAAGGCACCTCGTAGTCCCCATCAAAGTCAGTCCCCCGCTTCCACCACGGGAACAGGCCCCGGAGCTTCTTCAGCTTGCCCATGCGGGCGGTCGAGTCGTAGCACACGGGCTTGTCCTTCCAGCCATCGAAGACGGACAGGAACCCGCTGAGGTGGGACTTGCACCCGGCTTTCACCTTGTCCTCGAGGTCGTTGGGGATGCCGACCCTGTGGCCCGTGGGGTCCTTGTGGTTGCCCTCGAGCCCGCAGATGGTGCCGCCGCGGACGGTGCGGCCGTAGTACTTGCCCCAGTCCTTGAGGACGCGCTTGCCCGGCTTCCCCTGCCCGCACTGGGCGTCGATCTCGTCCATGGCCTGCATGAACTCGAGGAGGCTGCCAGTGTTGATGCCGGTGGGGTTGCAGATGTAGACGACGGAGTCGCCGTAGAGGGCGTAGCGGACGCTGTTCTGGGGGATGAAGAACTGGGGGGCGTCGAAGAGGAGGCTGATGGCGTTGTGGTAGTCGGACATGGGGGCAACCCAGTTCGGCTTCTTGTGGCAGAAGATCTGGCCCGAGGGGATGGGCGTCTTCTCCGTGAGCGGCCACTCTCTGGCGAGGAGGTTTGCCGTGGACGAGTTGGTGGCCAAGGATGAGTTGATGACTTTGGGTGGTCTGATGACATTGGGGGGTAATTTGCCTTTGAAGGCCTGGGACGAGTTGGAGCCCTTGGCTGGAAAGATGGTATGGATCTCATACGGGGGGATTCCGGGGAGGGCCTGGGCGAGGCCCGAGGTGGACAGGAGGAGGAGGGTTGTCAGCTTCATGTTGCGTATTGTTGCGTTGGTTAGCTGTGTGTTTCTTCTTCTTCTTCTTCTTCTTCTTCTTCTCCCTTTTCTCAAATGGATCACTTGGTGTAGGTATTCAAATATCTGGATTGCTTGTGAAGAGATGAAAGGCGAGAAGATGGATGGAACTGAAACTCATGGCAAACACGATGTATTAATAGTTGGATCGTGAAAATTTTGATAGTCTGCTGGAACATAAACTCAAAGTCTCGTATTGAGAGGCTGAAACTGTAGAAGTCGTTTACCAAATGAAGTTCCTTCTAGGTTCAAAAAGCTGCAGACTAGAATTCAGGACTTGACACCAGAACTCGGGAAGATGCAATCTAAATGGTCACACGTCTCGAAGCTCAGGAATAGACTTTAGGATGTGAGAAAAGATAAAGAAGAATTGTTACGACTCCTGAAACCTAGAAACATCATTCAAGCGGTAGAAGAGTGAAATGAATGCTACGATGTTTGAATTCAGGCAGTGAAAATTATTATCTTATGACTGCTGAAATTCTGAAAAATCCACCGGGCTGCAGAAGAGGGAAGGGAATGCCACAGTTCTTGAAGCTTGGGAATAGGATTCAACCTGCGAGCAAACTTTGACAGGCATATACTCCCCCACGATAGAAACTTTTATTATCTGGACGCATCTGGCTTTGGATCTAGTCGCCCGCGCGGACGACGGAAGATAGATGGCTTGTCACACAATCTCACCATCTTTTCCACCTCCGGTACTTGCCAATATCACTTGACCGCATGACTGAGACTGAGCGGGATGCAGGCATGTGCACGAGGCGCCGTCGGGCTGGAGTCTTGTGACTAAGTAGGTTGCATTGGATTTTAGGAAGTGGCCCAGCGAGATGATAAGGACATAGCTAGACTTCCGCTAGTTGGTCGAGATGAGCGAGGCAAGGCGAGGCGGCGAGGAGAAGAGGCGGAAACAGCTTGTGGTTAAAATTCATGAGTCCATTGTTGAATATCTTGCTGAAGCTGTTCTGCTCGCCCGGAATACTTGATTTGCATGACGCTAAATTATATGATGTACCATCATTTGCCCCCACGTCGGCGATGTTACGCAGAGGCAGATCACTGGGGTCCTGAGGAGATGCAGATCATCTGTCAGGTCTGCGCTTGGAAATGAGCTGCGTGGAACAGAGAGGCTCATTGCCCTTGCGGTAATGTCGTATTCCCAGGGTTTATCTATTTTTCTTTTCAGTATTCCGCCATTTCGTTCAGTCACAGATTGAGTTTAGGGTTTGGAGGGCAAATATGTATTACCGCACAAACCATATATTGGAAACTCACAATCATATATCAGCACTTGAGAACAATACATTTATTTCATTAATGAGACATATATGATCAAGTCAGGGATTTGACATGTACACTGGGTAGTCTCGGAAGGCTTGTGGGAGAATTCGGGTCTTCAACCCGAGTCATCCGTGCCACCATCCCATCGGGGCCGGGCTCTGTCTTCTGCACAACACGTCTGACTTGGGCGCGATTAAGCATGTCATCTATAAGGCGAAGTCTTGGTAGCAGAGTCTTAGATACAACTAAGGCCAGTGAGAGCACGGCGAGAATGGCAGTAAGCTGGGCGTAGTGAGTATTTGTGGTATTTCCTGCTGCAACGGCCGTCTCCTTCGGGATGCCTCTTTCATCAGGAAGGCGGACACTAAATTGGACCCTGCGTCTATCATTGCCCGGGGTGCATTTCGTCATCGCCAGGGCACCCTTTTTCTGGCATGGCGGCGCCGTATCTGTGCGTCCGACGCCCGAAGTCCGGTGGACGGCGACGGGCGAGGTGAAGATGTTGACAGCGAGTTTAGCCTTGGATGCAGTCATGACATGAAGCGAGGGAATCGGGATGTCGAGCTATATTCCGATACCCATCTGCCGTTGCCTCCCGCGTCCTCCTCATGAATTTACATATTGCACGCCCCTCCCGCCGCGTCGAAAGAGTGACATCATGAAGGGCAGCTTGGGGCCATCGTGCGAGCATCAGGTGCCTGTTGCAGCGAAAACGAGAGCGAAGGTTTCCGAAGGGGGAACAGCCAAGCCTGTATTGTGCCCGGATTGCGGTAGCACATGGCGAGTAGGTTAAAGGTAATAGAGCGAGAGCTTACGCAGCGGCCATTGCAGCACATCAGGGCAGCGAGGCCACTAACAGCCCTACGAGTTACTGATCACCAGGTCTCTGTGCTGCGTCAGCAGATGGGCGCCTCTCCAAGGTGCTGGTGCAGCCGGACGTAACATTGGCCGGGATGGAAATAGACATCTGCATCATGATTAGATCAATTGGAAGAGGCGGTGTCATTGATTACATGTGTTTACAAATGGCCAGTTCCAGCTGTGGCGGAGCTGGACGTCGCCGAACTGAGAGCGGCGACATGCGTCATCAGCTGAGTGAGAGTCAGAGGATAAGGTTGCTTCCAGTTTTCCAGCTCTCAGGCAGCGCTCCCACGGACGAGATGCCTGCACCCACATACCGCATGTGGAAGATGTAGCGGTGTTGGAGAAGGTGGGCGCGCAATACGATTATGCACTGCCTGCGACGCACCAGATCGAGGCAATAAATGATAATATTCCTCGCCTGGGGTCGCCGGACAGATGGAATCTACAGTGCGGCCGGAGATGCGTTCAGCTGCTTGCTTGCCTGTCATGATAGATTCATCCAGACTCAGCTTCGTCCCCGAGCGCACATGTTAGCCGTCCAGGCAGCCCGGCAGGCCGATGCAAGGATCTCCTCACCCCGTCCGAGGTAAGAAAGACCAGAGGGCGGCTACCATGGATTGTTACCTGCCCACATATTTTGCCTCGACCCCGCGATGCCAAGGGACGAGCTCCGCAAGATGAGGGGCAGCATTGGGATTTGCATGATGGAGATCCTGATGGGATGGGCCAGCCTGCCGTTTTCCTTCCCTATCCAGCCTGATCCCCCCCGTAAGTCTCTCGTGTACCGGTACCAGACACTCCATCCTACCTTATCTTGTGCAGCGAGAGAGCCGCGTCCCCAACACCCTGGTGCAGGGGCCGCCTGCTTTGACTGCCCTCTCGGCCGCCTGTATGTCTGCTTGCCTTCCAGGCCTCCGTTCCTCATTTGACATACGGCATTATTGAACGGATAGTCTGGTCCTTTTGCGTCTGCTGGCCTGTCTTACCCACACACTCTCCAAGGACCACGGCACGGGAAACCAAAACAAACAGCATCGAGAATCAAGGTCTCACAGCAGCTTCCGTCTCTGACAGCTGCCATGCCAGCAGCTGTGGGGGTTCTAGACTGAACCCGCTGATGAGTCCAGATGACAATAGCCAAAGCGCCGGACTCACACGCCCCTCCAGAGACTGGAGCTAGACGGTCTTACTTGCTCTCTACCTCCATTCCAACCATCGTGCAATTTTTCACTATTTGCTCACAATCCACCAATGCGAGGCCAGATTCGCTTCCCGGCTCCGGGTTATTCCACGCACAGATGGATCTTGGGGCTGGGCCATGCACGCGGCTCTTCTTCTAGCCTCCCAGCCCGGCCCAGAGCTCCTCCTATGTATGCCATGCATGGAGCTCGCTCGGTATGTACTCCTGCCTGCGCTCGCCGAACGTCAGCTTATCTACCCACGCGACGGTGGCTGCGGGTTTCGCCGTCGCGGCCGCCCGCCTCTTTTGCGTCGGCCGGGCACTTGGAATGTTGCGTGCCTTGGGACGGTGCCCAAGACGAGGTAAACGACCGTAAGTGTGACAAGCTGATCACAATGATAATCATATTTCAAGTGAATTATGCTGCTGCCCACCGCATCAGCGGGCCTTGGCGGTGTGTGTTCGTCGCGCGTGTTGCGCGAAAGCTATATGTGTCCTGCACGCATGTGATTGACGCCTTGGGACGTGAGAGGCCGATCGGCATCGAAAAATCATGGGAATCTGCCAAAGCCCGACTGCGAGTGCGGCAGCAACCTACATCTTACTCGAAGATGTCGATCCGGCAGATGACCCATCTCATTGGGAGAAAACGGGATTTCCTCCTGAAGAGTCTAGCCGAATACACTGATCTCCCCCTCCCACAGCCGGTCGCTTGGGACCAAGTTTGGGGACCGAGCTGCGTGGCTGACGGCCGTAGAGACACCGAGACGGGCAGGTTTTCGACACGAGAGATGCGCATTCCTGTTGTCATTCAATCAGGTATCGAGCTAGCTAATGTCATGATGAACGGCGCATGATGGTTGCTTGATGACAGCGACGGAGGTGGTGCATTCAATGGTGGTCGTTTGCCCAGGCTGATAACATGTGCAATAATAACAGCTGGACTGGAACACACACACACACACACACAAAAAGAGTCAGACAAATGGTCGCAGAGCCGCTGGTGAGGTGTGATGGGCTCCAGCCACGATTAGGCTTCTAATGATGACTATTATCCTCCTCGGATTCGACAGTTTCTTGCATATTTTAGGTGCTATGGGTTTGGCACAGCAAAATGGAGTGGCTGGCTGGTGAGAGCTCGCGCACGCCCCCTCCAGATCATCAAATCCCTCCACCCCCCTTTTCGACAGCGCGGCCACTAGCTTCCACTCGTACGAGTACCGGCCTTCTCAATCGGTTCATTTAATCACTATCGTACCGCTACACGAAGATTAAGGATTTCGTGTCTATCGCAGTCGTAGCCCAACCGTCAGCTTCCCCTTTCAGGGTCCCGCCCTTTTCGGAGTTTCCCTGGGACTTCTGCTCTGGGCCAGCTGCTTGTATTGCTGACGGACAGCTAGGTCAGGCTGATATCGACTATCGAGGAGGCGCGGGCTGATAATCTACACGCGATGGGTGCATGGGCCTGGCTGTGTCTTTGCCTGCCTGCTAGGCCACTACCTTAAAAACACTATCCCGTCCCTTTCGTCCCACTCTGGTCGATAGTCTGTCCGCGTTCGTATTATTATCGACACAGCTGAGCGAGCACACAAATGCCACACCGCAGCTGAAGGTCTCGGAGGCTGCCTGAAGGTGCCTGAAGGAACAATTGGGAGATTACAAATGTGACACCTGTGCTGGGCTCAATCAGGTAGGTATGCAAGTAGGAAGGTTAGCTGGATCTGGGAGGCCTTGGGTTGCTGGTTGGCTGAGGTTCAAGATGCAGGGCTGCCCATTGAGGACAGAGTTTTGGTGCTGCGATGGCCTGGGCCAAAAAGGCGGCCGACGAGATGGATGGATGGATCCTTGTGACTGACGCGGGACCGCATCGCATCACATTGTTGTCGCGATCCGTCGCGAATTCGGCGATTCTCCGTCGCTGCTTCACATTCGTAGGGTATATCTGCGCGGTTTAATTAATGCTTGCTATGTATGATCATGACTCTTGCTGTTTGTTGTAGTTGCCGCGGGTTCCTCTGCGATGCGATGCCTGAGTCAAGCACGTAGCAGATGGAAGCGCTACGGTGCCAACACGGGTCATGATACGCGGGAGCAACAACCCACCTGCGGGCTCCCACACGCCCCCGGTCCCTGTCCGACGATGGAGAAGCTCCAACTCAGTGGCGGCCCTCCCCCAAGCAGACCCCCAAAGCACGGCCAAAAGATGGCCAGGCCACGAGCGATTTCCTCGTGCTCTGCGCCCTACTGGTACGTGACATCTGGGCCGGGCACGTTTTAGCACATCCAAAGCCCGCAGTGGTGGTATGCTTTTTCTCGTCAGCCTACTGCGCGGTTGGACGATGTGAAAATGACATGACGTGTTGCGAGGCGGAGCGGGCGGACGTGTTCTGCACAGAAGCGACGAGAACAGCGGAGGATCTAGTTAGAAAGGGCCGCGGTCGATTCTGGATGCGAGATGGTCTCGTCTAATGAACAAGCACGCATCCAGGCCACGCGAGGGAAACGAAGGGGCCTGGGAGGCGAGCCATACAGCGGCCTCAGATCGGTCGCGCCGGCGTTCCGCCCGTCTAGATTGCAGATAGACAGCAGGTACCCATCACATCCACGGGCGCCTCGCAGGCGGGTTACAGGCGGGTACCCCCTACCTAGGTATGATTACAGGGCACGCTGCAGCGGTGTCAGCGCTGCACTACGCTGCACTGCACCGCGCTGTGCTGCAGACTGAGGCAAGGGACCGGCCTAGGGACACGCCCCCTCCACTGGCTCTGGGCCTTTCAGTGGCCCATCTGCGTCAAACCCCCCCGGTCATCCCCAGCTTTTTTGCCCTCAGTACCTCAGCTTTGTCTCGGTACAAGCCCAAGGCAGCAGACGGCCTACCAGTTTGGTTTTCCCCATAAATCTACGTTGCGTGGACCCCGGCCCACGGCCCAGGGTGAATCCGGACACATTCAAAAGCCGAAGCAATCCTCTTCTTCTCCTTCTCGCCTTGCCACGCCGTCTCTTCCTCTTCATAATCTTCAACCATCTCACCGTCGAATTCGACCATAATATATCGGGTCTCGTATACAGAGTCGACCTTGATCCATATCACACGACAAACAGTAACAACGCCTGGGGCTGTTTTTTTGCTTTGGATACCATCACCACCCCTTTTAACCGCCAACCCCTAAGTGACAGCCTGTTTTTTCCCGCCCAGCGCACACCTACAGGCGACCTCGCTGCTGCATTACCCCTTCTCCCCCACACCACCACCGAGCTCTTTTTGGGGTAACACCTACCAGCGCGTCAACACAACATCAACATCAACATTCAATCCCATCCAATCCATCTAGCGCATCCAACCGCGACGCGCTACCAATCGACCACTTGCCTTATTCATCCCAACCTCTCCGGCTCGGACTCCACACACAGACTCAACCACCATGTCGTCGTCACCTGAAACCGCATACTACCTGGTCCCCAATCTGCAGGCGCTGGATCCATCAGCACGCGAACTCGATGCAAGCTCAACGACGTGGGTGCAGCCCACCATCATCGAGGATGATGACCTGACGTTTGGCGGCAAGAGCCTGAGCGCCTGGTACGAGGAGGACCGCAGGCGGTTTAGCCACAG